AGGGACCAGTCACTGGAAAAGGATATCATGTTTGGTAAGGTGGAGGGTCAGAGAAAAAGGGAAGACCCCCAACGAGATGGATTGGCCACGTGGCAGCATCAATGGACTCAAGCATGGCAACAGTAGTGAGGTTGGCCCAGGATCGGGCAGTGTTTCATTCTGCTGTGCATAAGGTCGCTATGGGTCAGTAACGACTTGATGGCAACTAACAACAACAACGAGACAGTGTTTTTTGAGATTGATCTCCCTGTCTCCTTTTTACAAGTAATAAAACTTTGCAGTGCTTAAGACAGAGAGCATGACATTTTCCCATGAACTTTTTGAATCCCCCTCAATGTATGCAATGATACCTTGTTGCACTGTTACGAGAATGTTGCTGTTATTAAGTGCCATCAAGTTGGATCCAACTCATAGCAACCCTGTATAGTTTCCAGGACTGGCTGGTGGGTTTGAACTGCCAATCTTTTGGTGCTTATCCTACAGTATCATACCAGGTATTTGAGAATAATATATATATATATATATATGCTTACTCTCACAACCATGCAACAAGGTAGGTATTACTACCCGATGAGGAAACTGAGCACAGAAAGAGTAATTTGTCAAAGTCACACAGGTAGAAAACAATGGGGTGAGGTTTAAACCAAGCAGTTGCGCTTTATAACCTGTGTTCTGAACCACCGTATCAGGCACTTGCAGCCCAGGCTGCACATTGGTATCATCTGGAGAGCTTGTAAAAAGTTTCTGTCTGGTCCTTCCCCCAGACTAATTGAGACCACATATCTGGGGAGAGACCCTGGCATCCACAGTCCAGAAACCCCTGGGTATCTTCCGTGCAGTGAGGTTGGACAGTCTGCCCTGCTGGAAGTGTACATGATGTATCAGCAGAAGAGCGAGAAATTCCCAGGAACTGTATTGACTCCATTGAGCTTGGAGTCAGGTTTTCCAGACTCATTCGCGTGTAGACATAAGCTAAGGTTGTACCCTACAGAATCAGAGGGTCCCTACATTTTAAATGTTCTTCTTGTCTTCTCTGGCTACCATAATCAGCTAAATGCTACACAACTCTTTCCATTTACAATGATCGAGAATTAATTTTGCTCTGAAACTTTCCCAGAAGCCCCCGAGGCAACTGGTGGAGGTGTGGCTATGCAGGAACTGGTGATCATTCATCTTAAAGACAATCCTGTTAAGCCCATGGGACAAAGCTCAGCCCTACACCTGGTGCTAACAAGAAGTTTGTTTGAATAGAAAAGAGGAAGAAGTGAAAAAGAACAGGTCAGTAGAGCCCTCCTGACTGCTACAACTCCTAACTCACACATCTGACATAAGTTTTCCATATGGCACATTAACACTTTGCCCATGTGTCTGTCTCTCTCACCCGGTAGAACTCCTGAGAGACAAAGAATATGGTTTGGGTTAGCCATCCCAATAAGGGCTCAAAAATGTGCAATGAATGAGTGAATAAAGGAAGACGAAGAACAGGGATAAAATATAGAAATTAGCAGACATCAGTCTCCCACGTTGCCATGTTCTAGTGGCATCCAAACCAGGGTTGCTTAAAGAGCTTATCAAAATAATACTGCTGCATGGTTCTTGTGCACTGTTGCAGGTTGGATGAATCAAATCAAAGAAGTGAGGCACGACACAGGAATCTATTTCTAACAAGCTGCCCAAGCGAATTTGACAGCAGTGTGCAGTGCGTCTCAACTTTCCCTGCATTTTGAAATCACAAAAGAGCTTTTAAAAGGACTGATGCATGGGTCCCATCCCCAGAGATTCCAGTAAAATTGTTCTGGTGTGTGGTCTGGACATCAAGAGTTTCAAAAGGTGATTCCAGTGTAAAGCCAGTGTTGAGGACTTCTGTTCTATATGCCATGGAGTTGGTTCCGATTCATAGTGACTCGGCATAGGGTTTCCAAGGTTGTAAATCTTTATGGGAGTAGAAAGCCTCATCTTTTCTCCTGTGGAACAGCTGGTATTTTCAAACCGCTGACCTTGTGGTTAGCAACCCAACTCATAACCACTATGCTACAAGAGCTCCTTCTGATGCTTCTATAGCCAGGGTTGATGCTCAGTGAAGACTAGAAACTGCAGAACTGAATTATGGGAAAGCAAGCAACCCACTCCCACTCTCTCTACTGTCTCCATTCTGCCATACCAGATGCCAAGCTGAGATTATCACAGGTCCCTCAGGGCCATCTGTCTAGGTGCCTTTGCTTCCTCAGACCCAGTTTCAGTGGGTTGGAGAGTCACTGAGAACACACCCCCAAGAAGTGCTAAAGGTTTGAGGTTCACAAGAGTTGTGGTCTCAGTCAAAGGATATATTCAGATGAAAGAGCCTGAATGATAACTGTTCATCCTTATCTCATTCCCTACCATAGCTAGAGAGCCTTTCCATTCTCCTCCCCAACCCATCCTCTATTTGGGAAAAAAAAAAAAAGGATTCTTACCTCATGGTACAAACCCTCAGAGCGAGCTTTGTCAATTTTTTCCAGTGTATCCTTGGAGAACTGTATCATCTCCTTCACCACTTCCTGAGATGGCTGGGAAGGGAAGTGAGAGACACTGAGTTGAAAGCCCATTCCATTTTTTAACAGCTGCCAACTTTGAAATTCAATGTAGTACACAATTAGTGATTCATGTATGTAAATGCTACTCAAAATCCCAATAGCTTTTCCTGCTCCCTCCCTCATCATGCTTCTGACTCATATTGTGTTTCCTATGGACCAAGCCCCAGAGCTTTGCTGCCAGCCAGCTAGCTACACCCTGGGCTCAGGCATGGGCGTTTGGACACCTGACATGTATCATGTTGTGTCTTCTCTGCCATTTTGGATTCTGACTAGATCACCCAAAATTCGTGTCATTCTCCCTCTTTGCTTCAAGTTAAGCACACATTCTACAGATATTCTTCAGCAAATTTTGTCTTCACCTGAGTCACTGATTTAAATACTAGTCACCACAGGGAGAGGACAGAGGCTATGGGCTTGACTCCAAAACCCTATACCAGTTACAATTAGAATTCACGAAATGAGGTCTTTTTGCATATGACCATTCAAACCTTTCCAAATGTCTTAGCATCCAGTCTGTATTTCCCTGTCTTGACCAAAAGGATATCATAGCAACCCTGTGTAGGGTTTCCAGTGAGTAGCTGGTGATTTTGAACTACCAACTTTGTGGCTCAAACCAACTTTGCAGTCCAGTGCTTTATCCCACAGCACCACACTAGGTCCCCTTTCTTGCTTGACAGATTAATAAAAAATCTTTCTCAATTTGATGTTGTAAGGAAGACTGTCCTTTAAGCTCTGGAAATCAGTTTAAAAAAATTAAAGGAGGCAACTTCCAAGGTTCCTACAACAGCTTAACTGAGAGGTTATTAATTTTCTACAAGCATAGCTTGTAGAAAAAGTTGAAGATAAGCTCTGTTATGGACTGAATTGCATCCTCCCTAAAATATGCGTTGGATTACTAAACCCTAAAACAGATTTGGATATCAAATTTTCTTTGTTATATAAATGATGCCATATCAGTGGAGGGTGTATCTTTAATTCTATAAACTTGGAGATCCAAAAAGAAGAGAAGAGGCACAGAAGCATGGAAGCACAGATGAGAGAAGACAGATGCCAGGACACATGAAGATCGCTAAAGAACAGAAGCTGAAAGAGATGAGGACCTTCCCCCAGAGCTAACAGACAGAGAGGAAGGCTTCTGCCGGAGTGGGTACACTGAAATCAGACTTCTAGCTGCCTAAACGGTGAGAAATAATTTCTGGTAATTATAGTCATCTACTTGTGGTACTAATGCTATAGTAGCACAAAGACACTAAGATATGACCCTTCTCTGAGAAAGAAAACAGGACTATTTTTCACTTTTTAGAATAAGGCAGGAAACCTTTCGATCAGCAGACAGGATACAGGGACCTCTTAGTAAGGCCCCCCCTTCTTTAATCGGTAAGCATTGCCACTGAGTCATGGCAACTCTGTCGGACTCAGAACTTCTCCTTTGGGCTTCCTTTATAGAAGCAGACAGCCTCATCTTTCTCCCACAGAGTGACTGGTGGATTTAAACCTCTGACTTTGGGACTAGTAGTCCAATGCTTATCCCCCAGTGCCACCAGAGCTCCTATGTCTCCCCTCTTAAGAAGCTTTAAACCCACCAAGACCAGTTAACCTTGGAAACCCTATACAGGGTGCAATGGTTTGGTTTTAGCTTTAGTTTTGATTGTTGTTGTTAAGTGCTGTTGAGTGCCGTTCAGTTTTGGTAGCTGTGTTGTTATCAGGCGCTGTCAAGTCAGCTGTGACTCATAATGACCCTATGCACAACAGAATGAAACACTGCCTGATCCTACGCCATCCTCACAATTGTTGTTACTTTGAGCCTACTGTTCAAAGTTACACTGTGCCCATACATTTTGTTGGGGGGGGTCTTCCTTTTTTTCACTGACCCTCCACTTCACTAAGCATGATGTCCTTCTCTAGGGACTCATTCCTCCTGATAATATGTCTGATGTATGAGACACAAAGTCTTGCCATCCTGGCTTCCAAGGAGCATTCTGGCTGTACTTCTTCCAACATAGATTTGTTTATTCTTCTGGCAGTCATGGGACTTTTAATATTCTCCTCCAACACCATAACTCAAATGCATCAATTCTTCTATGGTCTTCCTTATTCACTGCCCAACTTTTATATACATATAAGGCTATTGAAAAGATCATAACTTAGTCCTCAAATTGATATCTTTGTTCGTGAACACTTTAAAGAAGTCTTATGCAGCAGAACTGTCTAATGCAATATGTTTGATTTCTTGACTGCTGCTTCCATGAGTGTTGATTCTGAAGCAGCCAAAACCAACTCTTGACAACTTAATCTTTTCTCCGTTAAGAAGATTGTTGTTTATTGGTCCAGTGGTGAGGATTTTTGTCTTGTTTAGATTGAGATGTAATCTATATCAAAGGCTGTGCTCTTTGATCTTCATCAGTAAATGTTTTAAGTCCTCTTCACTTTCAGCAAGCAAGGAGTTTTCTTTAGGAGCCTCAAAATACATGAGGGGTGGGGAACTTCCATTCTGAGGCCGTATAAAGCCTGCAAATCATTTGGTCTGGCCCTGCCAAGGCAACCGCAGTTCCAGCCATCACATTATGGGTGAGTTAATTAAATATTTGACCAAATATAGCAGGTTAACATTTAAATAGATAATTTTGTAATGCCTATGAATGATGTTATAAATTTTGGCAGAAAAAAAGGTTCCCCACCCATGAAATATACAGAAGTAAAACAAGAAGAAAGTATAGAAGGGAGCAGATCAGGAAACTGAGGCACAAAAGGAAGACACTTGCCAAAAGACTTGTTTAAGCTCATAGCAAAAATTAGAACGCATGCTTCCTAATTATTTTTCGATTATCTTTTCTACTACATTATAATGTACTTTTAGATACCTTTTGCAGCTCACTTTTGAGCATTGTCTTTATTTTGAGTTATTTTAATGTTGGTGGTGTTGTTATGTGCTGTGAGGCACATTCTGACTCACTGTGATTCTGTATAGGTTTTCCAAAGAGCAACTGGTGGGTTTGAACCTCCAACCTTATAGTTAGCAGCCAGTGCTTATGCTACAGTGCCAAAGAACAGTCCAATTTGACATTCAAGGAATGGAAATTATTGTTTTGAAACCAGATCTGTTCAATCATAGATCATCAATCTATCAGGAGAGAGGTCCACTCTGCAGTTCAGACAGATAGACACGGGCATACTGTCATCAACTGGGAATGGCATCATTAAGATGAAGGAACTAATGGTTAAACGGCAAGTGCTGAAACTGCCAGATAAATTATGCAAGTTTTACAGAAATGACTACATAGTTGATTTCATTTTAGAAGAAAGAGAAAAAGGATCTGGACTCTTAACAAAAAAAAAAAAAATTAAGTGGTGGTGGGAACAAGTTATAAAATAAATACTCAGGATCAGGAAATAGGAAGGAATGCTGTCTTGTAGAGATGAAATCCAAAGACCCACCACCCTCGAGTTGACTCGGATTCATAGAAACCCTATAGGACAAAGTAGAAGTGCTCCTTATGGTTTCAGAGACTGTACATCTTTATGGGATCAGACAGTCTCAGATTTCTCAAATGCAGTGGCTGGTGGGTTTGAACTGTCGACCTTTCGATTAGCACACCAGTGCTCCTAGATAATACATGTACTATTATACTGTAGGTTTTGAAAGTTCAGGGTGAGGGCGGACACAGTAGCTCCTAAGGTGCTGTGTTCAGTGCCTCACACACTTATTGAAATACAGAACCTTAGATTCTATGAAAAGGACATTGTTCCTACATAGAGCATATTCATCCTGGGTACCAGCTGCTTTATCTCCTGCCTTGGAGGGATGATTCTCAATTTCCCCATCCCAGGCCACTGCTGACCCATTAGTCATAGCTTCCTCCTCCTACTTGTAAGTAGACAGAGACTGACTATGCTTATACACATGTGTGTGCATGGGTGTGCATGTGTACCTTTTGATTTTTATGATTGTTGTTGTTGTTAAGTGCTGATGAGTCAGTTCCAACTCACAGCATTCCTGTATAGAGTTTCCAGGAAGCAGCTGGTGAGCTTGAACCACCAACCTTTTGGTTTAAAATGCATAAAGGAGTCCTGGTAGCACTATGGATTAGGTGTTGGGCTGCGAACTATAAGGTTGGCAGTTTGAACCCACTAGCTGTCTGCAGGAGAAAGATTTACAGTCTCAGAAACCCTATATAGGGTCATTATGAGTCAGAATTGAATCAGGGACAATGGGTTTAGTTTGGGTTGTGAGCAGAGACTACACCATTCTGCCCCTGTTTTGTCTCTTAAGTAAAAGAATTCATTCCATATCTATATAAAGATCTACCTTGTTAGCTTTAATAGCTTTAGGCTGTTCCTTTAATTCAAATAATTCCCTGTTGGTGGCTATTTAAGTCTTATTCAACAATTTGCTGTCCTCAACAATGCTGTGATGCATGTTCCTCTACATGTATCTTTGCGCATATGTACAAGTATATCTATAGACTAGATTCTTAGGAGTAGAACTGCCTGGTCAAAGGGAGAAAAAAATATTATATTTAAAGAACAAAATAAGTGGCAAAAAGAAAATGTCTAGACTAGCTTGAGTATGAAATGAGAGCTGCGTCAAGTGAGGGAATACTGTTATCTGAATATTAGCACAGACACTGATGAGTAATGAAGTCATAGACAGGGTCACCAAATCTGGACCTCCAAGTTGTTTTTGCTCGTAGAGTGTGTTCTAACTAGAGGTGATTTATCTGTCCACACGTAGTATACAGAATTTGTTAAGTGAATTTAGAAGCATATTTGAGTATGCCTCAGTGAATTGTATCTTACATGCACAAGGGAGGAGACTGCACAGCTTAACATTCTTAGTTAGCCTTCCTCTCTGGAGAGACACAGTGGTCTGACTGTTAACCAGGTAACAGCCCACTCAGGAGTTAATGATATTAACCAATCTCAACATTGCCCCATCTCCATACTGCCCATCTCTGGGAGACTAGGAATACCTCTGTGATAACCAGACAACAAACCTCTTTGCCCATGAGAATTCAGTATCTGAAATTCTCAGCATTACTTAGTCTGCAAAGGGAGAAGAGGAACTAAAATCTATATGCCAGTCATTTTACATACATCATCCTGCCTAATCCAATAACGACCCTTTGAAATGGGTGCCATATCCCTATTTTGCAAATGTGAAAACTGAGTAACTTCCCCAAATCAAACACCTGATAATTGTTGGCACTATGATTCCAGCTAGGGATGTTCTGTCCATACCATGATACCTCCTCAAGGTTAGGGGACAGCCTTCTAAGAAACCAATGGGCACAGGGTGAACTAATTAACTAGGAAATCTACCTGGACTTGCTCCTTAATAGATGGTCACAACCTTAGGACCATAAGAAGAGTATGAGTGGAATGTGAGACCCTATCCAGAGAAGCAGTGACACCAGAGATGGAGGCAGAGATGAGGACATGGACAAATGGAGCAGCTAAGGACTCTAGACTCATGGGAAGAGAAAGACTGTGTGCTGGTGGCCAGGAGGCAGGCTTGCAGAATGTGCCCTTTGGTTGTTTAAATGTGCCCTTTTGTGTATATCCACCCACCCCACCCCCAAAAAAACAAAGGGAATAGAAGCAAATACTGTTGAATGATAATGCACGGAGGGGACTGTAATTATTGCAATGAAACGATGAGTGTAAAACCAATGTTCTCCCATGTAAACTATCACTCAATTCACAATAAGAACTTTTTTTAAAAAAAGGGAGAGAGAGAGAGATGGTCACAAAAATCCAAGTAGTGGGGGGGCTGTGTGTACCTTCGGGTCATCTTTCACCCCCAGGAAAAGGTCATCTTTCAGTCCTTTCTGGCAGTGTTCACAGGTGCAGTCAAAGTAATACTGGCTCTTCAGCTGCTTTTTACGCTCTGCGCTAACATTGAGAAAGTCGATGTAGGACACCTTCAACTCTTCTCCTTCTGAGATCTTGCCCAGGGCTCGTAGCTCAATTCTGGAGCAGGGAAAGAGGAAAGAATAAATCAAGTCCAGGGCTACTGAAGTGGGATACATGCTCTCCCAGGTTTCAAGGAGCAGAACCTCAAAAACAGTGACTTCCACTAGCACTTTGAGAAGTCTCATTCCTACAAAAATCAAAGAGCGGAAATATGACCTAAGGATAGATTTCTGGATAATTCCACTTCACTCATTTTAACAATCAAATCTGCTCCACTCAATTAATCCCTCTGAAATCAATTCAAATAGATTATTGGTAAAAGTGGTGATGGTTGCTGTTGTTGTTGAGTGCCGTGGAGTTGGTTCTGACTCACAGCAACCCTGTTAGGGTCTCTGAGGAGTAAGTAACAGGTGAGTTTGAACCACCAACCCTGCAGCTCAAACTGACCTTGCAGTCCAGTGCATTGTCCTGCAGTGCCACACTAGGACTCCTGGTAGCCTGGTCATAAAATCAAACATAGCTTTCATGCCTGCAATTGTCCCTATATGTTTACTTATTGTCTGCAAACAAACCAAAGTACTAATGATAGGGCAAAAACTCCAAACAAAAGAAGAGCCAAAAATCATTTCTGGTTAGTTTTGGAACCACTCTCTGAGAAACACATATTTAATTACCTATAGTTTTGACCCGTTTTGTCTAACTTTTAGACCTCTCTTAACTTTCATCCCAATGTTGTTTGTAAATGCTGAGTCAAGTTCAGGCCCATATTGAGTGAGGACCCATATGCTTAAACCAAAAGAAAAAAACCTCAAACCTGCTGCTGGTGAGCCCATTGTGACTCACAGTGACCCATGTGTTTCAGAGAAGAACTGCTTGAGAGGGTGTTCTTGCTGTAATCGTTACAAAAGTAGATTGTGAAGCTTTTTTTTTTAAGTGCCCATGTGTGAATTTAAACTATCAACCTTTTAGTAAGAAGTCAAGGGCAAACTGGTTGTACCACCAGTCAGAGAGCCATTGGGGAGTACAAGCAGTTAAGCAAATAATCAAAGGCAAGCTCTGTTAGTCGGCTTCACGGTTTACTTTTGTGTTTATTGGGAGACACAACTTTCTGATTGAAGATGGTTACCAAGAACAGAAGGCATTTCAGGTCCCTTCCAATCAAGACCTTATCCTCCAATTACCTACATCCCCACCCACCTTACCATATGATACAGAATGCACTGAAGACAAAACCCACTGCGAGACATCCAGTAAAGCCAAACAAACCATGCAACTTCTACCCACAAGGCTAAACAGCCAAAGAAAACAAGTGGTGAGCCCTACAAACTGGATTCCAAATTGTGCTTCTGTATCTTCCCAGGGTTCTGGGGCCTCACCGCCCATTGAGTAATCATCACCTAGATAATAAGTGGTGGGATGCAGAAGGCGAGGGAGGCAGCTTCTATGAAGGAACCCACACTCGTTTCTTTTACCTCCCAGGAAAGCTGAGTTCCATACTGTTGAAAGACAGGGCAAGATTTCAATACCACAGAAGGTGTCCCCTCAAAAGCAGCCCCCTTCTTCTGCATGCTATAAATTGATAACATAGCAAGCAACAGCTGAAAGCTGCTGACATGATGTCCAGGTGTCTGAGGTGGTCATTTACAGTTAAAAACCCTGGCTCCAGAGATGTTGCATAATGGATAGAGTTCATGTTTAGGGTGTTGCTTAGCCCTCTAGTGCTGCTATACCAGAAATACCACGTGGGTGGCCTGAACAAACAGAAAGTTCTTTTCTCACTATTTTCTAGAATGCTGGAAGTCTGAATTCAAGGTACCAGCTCTAAAGCAAGGTTTTCTTTCTCTGTGAGGTCTGGAGGAAGGTCGTTGTCTCTTCTGGATTTCTGCTCCTGGGTGATTCTCATGTGCTTGGCATAAGTCTTCCTCCAAGTCTGCTTCCTAGCTTGCTTGTTTAATCTCTTTTATATCGGAAAAGAGAATGAACCAAAATGCATTCCACACTAACCTGCCACATTAACATAACGAAGACAACCCATTCCCCAATGGGATCATAACCACAGCATTTGTTGTTGTAAAGTGCCTTTAAGTTAGTTCCAACTCATAGTGACCCACTGTAGGGTTTCCAAGGAGTGGCTGGTGAGTTTGAACCACCAACATTGCGGTTCAAACTAACTTTGCAGTCCGGTGCTTATCCTACAGCGCCACAGCAAGACTCCAACCTCAGCATAGAGGTTAGGATTTATAATACATTTTTAGAGGACATAATTCAGTCCATAACATTCCATCCTCTGGACCTCCAAAATACATGTCAATACCACATCTACAACACATTCACCCCATCACACGGTCCCAATGTCTTCAATCAACTCCAAGTCCCAGATCTCATTTTCTGAATCACCTCAATCAAATATGGGTGAGACTCTAGGGGTATTCCATCCTGGGGGAGGGGAGGAATCCTCTTTATCTGTTTACATGTGAAATCTGCAGTCCAAATTATCTGTACAAGGGTGGAAGAGGCACCAAGTAGACATTTCTACTACAAATGGGAGAAGTTAGAGGGAAAGAAAAGATAACAAGGCACCAAGCAAGTCTCAAACCCAGCAGAACAGGTTACATTAGCTCTCAAAGCATAAAAATAATCCTCTGTTCTTTGGGACCATCTAGGCAATGGTCTTGCCCCACCATATGCTGGGTGTTGGTCAGGCTTTCTGAATTCTGTGTGGAGACCTCTCAGTCCTGGGCTTCAGCTCTGCCTGCCAGCCTGACTGCTCCCTCAACTTTGGGTGGCTCCATTCTCCTTGTTCATCTTAGCACTCAGCCCTGGCAGGCCCCATTCTTCTACTCCTTGAGCATAGCAGCACTGCCCCCTCAGTCTGGGTGTTAGGCCCATCCCACTGGCACACTAGAATAGCAGGAACCAAACTGGCAAAGATGCATCTTTTTGAAACCTAGGAGGTTGTGGGCCACCCTTTGAGATCCAGGAGACCAGAGTGCAGTCCTGTGAAGCTAAGAAAGCACTACTTTTCGTGTTCCTTCTGATAGTTCCGCTGAGCTCCCAGCTACTCCAAAGATGGTCCTTTTCTTTCCTTCAAGGCTAACAGATAATGCTTCTTCACCCTGATTCCTGCCTGTAGATTTTCAAGAGACAGGTAGTTTTATTCCCTTTTATCCTACTTCTGATCCCTTTAGTCTAAGCGATGCTGTTTTCTCTTACGGTAGTGACAGGCTTACACTCCTTAACAAAAGATTGAGTGATGACATCTCTATAACCATTCAAGAATATGTGTCCTTAGTCTGAAAAACAGAATTTCCCAAATATTTACATTCTGTTTTCATTTTGCAGTTTGTTTGTAAGTCCATCTCTTTCTTCTTGCATTTTACTATGAATAAAATGAAACCACACCACCCCTTTAAGTTCTTGTTTAGAAATCTCCTCAGCCAGATATGCAAAGTCATAACTTAAAGGTTCTACCTTCCAAATATGTTGAACACAGTTCCTACAGTTTCTTTGTCACTGCATAGAAAGCATCAACCCTTCTTCCACTGTCCAATCACATGTTCATCATTTTCTTTTAAAGCCTTACCAGAAGCACATTTAATGTCCACATTTCTACCAATATTCTGTTGCTGGTGCTGTATGTACTCTCTAAGATAATAGAGACTTTCTCTATAGCTCTCCTCATTTCCTTCTAAGCCCTCGCCAGTAATCTCTGCAAGACAATTTAGACTTTTATTACTAGGCATCTTAAAACTCTTTCAGCTTTTCCATCATCTCTTTCCGCAGATGTAGTCCATTTGATTTCTGTGTATTCCATCTGGTGAGGTCCATGTGTATAGTCATCTCCTATGCTGTCTAAAGAAGGTATTTGAAATGAACAAATCATTGATTTTGCAGAATTCTATCATGTGTTCTCCAGCATAATTTCTATCACCAAGGCCATATTTTCCAACTACTGACCCTTCCTCTTTGCTCCCAATATTTGCATTCCAATCACCAGTAATGATCAATACATCTTGAAATCGATCAAACATGCAATCAAGATGTATTGATCTTGCTCTTTAGGACTACATTAATGTCCTAAAAAGGAGTTCTGATAGTGCAGTTGTTAAACACTTGGCTACTAAATGAAAGGTTGACAGTTCAAATCCACCAGTCACTTCATAGGAGAAAGCTGTGACAGTCTGCTTCCATAAAGATTTACAGCCTTGGAAACCTTGCAGGGAAGTCCTATCCTGTCCTATAGAATTGCTATGGGTTAAAATTGACTGGATGGGAATGGGTAATGGCCTAAGTAGTTCCAAGTGACAGGTCTGGGTCCAGTATTGAATGTGATCTCTGATATTTGGCCCTGATAGGGTGAGTAAGCCCTCCTGCCTCCACTTGCCCCTTATAAAGACAACTCACCCTAGTGACATGTCCTCACTCAACAGTGACTGGGTTAGACTTTCCAGGAGCTTTGTTAAACCAATTCTTGCCACGTCTCTGAGTGTCTCAATTTGCTTGAGTGGTGTTACAGAATTTTCAAATCAAATTAATTTAAAATCAATTAAATAAGAAAAAATCATCTATGTGAATGCTTTACCTTACCTTACTTGGAGTTGGGGTAAAATGAGGACCGGAAAGGTAATCAGGAGATGAGGATTGTAGCCCAGGCTTAGGCCCCTTCCACATCTGCTGTTATTGTGTGCTGTGGAGTCTATTCCCACTCACAGCAACCCTACAGGACAGAGTACAACTGTCCCATAGAGTTTCCCAGGCTAAAATCTTGACAGCAGCATACTGCCATATTTTTCCCCGACAGGCAGCTGAGAGGTTCAAATCATTGGTCTTACTATTAGCAGCCGAGCACTTTGATCACAGCCCCATCCACTCTCCTTCTTCCTTCTCTAACAGGCTGCAATTCTACAGTTCAGCTAATAGAGTTACAGCTAGGCAACTGAAGTAACTATTTCTTGTAGATCTTAAGAACAGAGCCAAAGTCACAGAGACTTAAGACTAGAAAAGGTACCTAGAGACCTTCTCATCCTGACTTTCACTCTGCAGATGTGGAATCTAAGCCCAGGAACCAAAGCCAGGCTGTACACCAACACAAACACAGATGCACCAACGACTCCTACCCTCAACTCCCACAGGGTATTTTGTTTTAAATACAAAAATTATTTCATATGCTTTTAAAACCACTCTGAAGAAGGTGGAGGGAACTGGGGGGAAGACAGTCTGTGGTCATTTGATTTTCAATAAGAAAAGTCAAACGTAAAATCTAACCAAACTGACTTTAATAGACAGTTGACCAGAAGCAACTCATAGCTATGAATAAATATTTATCAAAAAGATATATTGTTGATAGTGTTTTCAGAACTCAATCTGGGTGAGTAGTTGGGGGTTATGAATAAACACACAGTCCATTAGTAGGTCAGTAATATCAACAGTACTGATTTCATGGTGAGCAGAGTTTATAGGATGACGCAGGCTTTCGCTGAGATGCTGTGGACAAGAAGGGACTGTCATGCTTCAGGATTAGAGGTGAGGGAGACATGGGGCATAAAAAAAGGGAGAAGGAAACAAAGTAAACAAAGGGTGGGATGAGGAACAAAATGATTAATTTAAATGAATTGAGATGCACCCCTCAGCAAAGACAAGACTCTGGGGTTCACAAGAACATTACAGACAGACAGCAGCCAAGGAGTCTTGGGAATGGGTGGCCCCAGCAAACCAGGCACTGAAGGAGATGGGTCAGAGGTGCAGGGGTGCTTGAAAGGACTGACCCACCTCATTTGGGTGTGAAACATGGATTTCACTGCCTCATGACTGAAAGACAAAACAGACACCCGAACAGAAATCATTACAACTGGATAATTCAGTAAGCCTAGCAATAGTGCACAGCATTCTGGGTTAAGCAAACAAAGCTTTGGCTATGAAAACCACCTTTATCCCAGCACCTTCTAGCTTAAGACAGCCTGGTATAGTGGAAAGGGCATTGGGTTAAGAACAAGAAGTTCTGGGTCCAACTGTACTCAACCTTGAACAAGCTCCTTCACTTCACTGGGTCTCATCTGTGACTTGGTAATGAGACTGTCAGAATTTTAAAGTACCACGCTAAAAGCAAAAAACATATGGGATGTTGTTACTGTCTTGCCAACAACAAGCATCCTGAAGGAATAAACGTTGCCTCTTTTAATGTCCATCTTAGGGAAAGCATGAACTATGTATAAAATAAGCAATTCACAACAAAACAAAAAAATCAGTTTTCATCTAGTCAGTTCCAATTTGTGGAGACTCTGTGTGTTCCTGAGGGTTTTTAAGGCTATGACTTTTTGGAAGCCTAGTTCCAGGCCTTTTTTCTGAGGTGTTTCAGAGTGGGTTCAAACCTCCAACCTTTCAGAAAGTAGGCAAGTTAGTTAACTATTTGCATCACCCAGGGACTCCAGGTGACATGGTTGTTGTTGTTATGTGCTGTGGAGTCGGTTCTGACTCATAGCAACATTGTACAGGGTTGCCAAGGCTGTAAATCTTTAAGGGAGCAGAAAGCCTCATCTTTCTCCTATGGAACAGCTGGTAGTTTCAAACTGCTGACCATGAGGTTAGCAGCCTGATACAAAATCACTACGCTACCAGAGCTCCTTAGGTGACATGGTAGTGTATGAAAATTGCTGGGATTAGAACTGAGTTCCTCACACTATGACCAGGGCTTCTTCCACTATAGCAGACAACTAGGCAGTGACTGTAAAGTCACCTTTGTTTCTTTTTTTTTTGCCTAACAGCTAAGATGCTCAGGTAGAATGCAGATGCTGTAAATGAGTTGTTGTTGTTGTTGTTGTTAGGTGCCATAGAGTCGGTGCCGACTCATAGCGACCCTATGCACAACAGAATGAAACACTGCCTGATCCTGGGCCAACCTCACAATTGTTGCCACACTTGAGTCCACTGATACTGCCACTTTGCCAATCCATCTCACTGGGAGTAGACACAAAGAATACAGAGCAGATACCAGAGATAATCTGAAGAACATGTTTCCAGGTTCCTGTAGTTATTACATGTATTGACAAGCGAGAGCCCTGGGTCACCACCAGTTAGTGGAATGGCAACTAGAAAAGCCTGCCCTTTATGTGCCTGAATTTGAACTTCTCTGCCACCCTGGCTAAGCACAAACTGTCCTCTTGAGATGACATCATGGTGTCCAGGTCATTTAGGCTCAGGAAGGGAAGCAGAAATGTCGGAGGAAGAGTATCATCTGGAACCAAAATAAACTGGGCCATAATGAGAGATTTTCTCAATTGCTTAAGAGTCTACTGTCATGGGTTATTTTTATTGTTAGGAGCCTTCAAGTCAGTTCTGACTCATAATGAGAGAACGCAACCCTGCCCAGTCCTGCACCATTTTCACAATCTTTGTTTCAGCTTATTGTGGCAGCCACAGTATCTAATCCATCTCATTGAGAATAGTCCTCTTCTTTGCTAACCCTCTGCTTTGCCAAGCCTGACGTCCTTCTCCAGGGACTGGTCCCTCCTGATAACATGTCCCAAATAGTGGGATGAAGTCTTGTCATCCTTGCTTCTACGGAGCTTTCTGGCTGTACTTCTTTCAAGGCAGATGTACTCATTCTTCTGACAGTCTATAGTATATTCAATATTCTCCACTAATACCATAATTCAAAGGTATCAATTTTTATTTGGTCTTCCTCATTCATTGTCCAACTTTTGTATGTATATGAAGCAAATGAAAAGACCATGACTTCTGCTAAGCACACCTTAGTCCTCAAAGTGACATCTTTGCTCTTTAACACTTTAAAAAGATCTTTTGCAGCAGATTTACCCAACATAATACATCATTTGATTCGATTGCTGCTTTTGTGGGTGTTGATTGTGGATCCAAATAAAATTAAATCCTTGATCATTCTAAAATTTTATCCATGTATCATGATGTTGCTGATTGGTCCAGTTGTGAAGATTTTTGTTTTCTTGTTGTCAAAGTATAATTCACACTGAAAACTGTAGTAATTGATCTTCATCAGCAAGTGCTTCGTTTTTGCTGTAGCAAATAAAGTTGTGTCATCTGCATATCACAGATTGTTAATGTGCCTTCCTGCAATCCTGATACCACATTCTTCTTCATATAGTTCAGTTTCTCAGATTATTTGCTCAGCATACAGACTGAATACGTATGGTGAAAGGATACAACCCAGCTATAGATTTTTCTTGGTTTTAAATCTCACACTATCCCCTTGTTCTGTTTGAACAATGGCTTCTTGGTCTACGTACATGTTCTGTGTGAGCACAATTCACCATTCTGGAATTCCCATTCTGTGTAGTGTTAGCCATAATTTACTATCATCCACATAGTCTAATGCCTTTGTATGGTCAACAAAACACAGACAAACATCTTTCTGGTATTCTCTGCTTTCAGCCAAAATCCATCTGATATCAGCAATGATATCCCTCATTCAATATCCTCTTCTGAATCCAGCTTGAATTTCCAACAGTTTCCTGTTGAAGTGCTTACTGCTGCAACCATTTTTTAATTATCATCAGCAAAATTGACTTGTGTATGACATTAATAATATTGTTTGATATTTCTGCATTCCGGTAGGTCACCTTTCTTTGGAATGAGCATGAATATGGATTTCTTCCAGTATCTTCCAACTTTCTTGGCAATCATGAGTGAGCCCCTCCAGAGATGCATTTGTTTGTTGAAACATCTCAATTGGTATTTCAATTGCTGGAGCTTGTTTTTCACCAAACTTAGTGCTGCTTGGACTTCTTTCATCAGTACCATTGATTCTTGATCATATGCCTCCTCTTGAAATGGTTGAACACTGTCCGATTCCTTTTGATACAGTGACTCTGTGTAGTATTTCCATTTTCTTCAGATGCTTCCTGCATCAGTCTATATATTGCCCACAGAATCATTCAAAATGTGCAACTAAGGCTTGAACTTTTTTCTTTAGTTCTTTCAGTTTGAGAAATGCCTAGTGTTTATTTCCCTTTTGGATTTTCGACTCCAAGTCTTTGTACATTTCATTATAATACTTTACTTTGTCTTCTGAAATCACCCTTTGAAATCTTCTGTTCGGCACTTTTACTTCATCATTTCTTTTACTTTAGTTACTCTGTGTTCAAGAGCAAGTTTCAGGGCCTCTGCTGATATCCATCTTGGTCTTTTCTTTCGTTCCTGTCTTTTTAATGACCTTTGGTTTCTTTATGTATGATGTTTTTTATGTCATCCCACAACTTTCCGACTCTTTAGTCATAAGTGTTCAATACATCAAATCTGTTCTTGAAGTTGTCTCTAAATTCAGGTGGGAATATCAAGGTCATATTCTGGCTCTCATGGACTTGTTTTAATTTTCCTTAGCTCCAACTTGAATTTGCAATTGATGTTCTATTCTGCAGTCAACAACCCTTCACCATATTATAATTAATGACATTGAACTTGTCCTTTGCCTTTTTCCTCAGATGTAGTCAATTTGATTCTTGTGTATTCCATCTGGTGAGGTTCGTGTGTATAGCTGCCACTTATAATGTTGTTGAAAAAGATATCTGCAATGAATAAGACCTTGGTCTGGCAAAATTCTATAATGCGATCTCCAGCATCATTTCTATTACCAAAGCCATATTTTCCAGTGACTGATCTTTCTTTATTTCCAACTTTCCCATCCCAATCACCAATAATTATCAATACATCCTGATTGCATTTTTTTTTTTAAACCATTCTAGTTGGTAAAAATCTTCAGTGTCCTCATCTTTGGCATTAGTGCTTTGTTTGTAAATTTTAATAATAATCATATTAACTCATATTCCTTGTAGGTATATGGATAATATCCTATCACTCAAGGCAGATCTTTAAATGCTCTCTCTGATCATGAATGCAACCTCATTCCTCTTCAATTTGCCATTCCAAGCATAATAGCCCAGTTCACAATGGCCAATATCAGTCATTTAAACTCACTAATGCCTAGCAGTCCTGGAGTGGCACTGTAGGATAAATGCACTGGACCACAATGTTGGTTTGAACCACAAGGTCACAGGTTCAAACTCACCAGCAACTCCTTGGAAATCCTATACAGGGTCACTATGAGTCAGAACTGATTTGACAGCACTTAACAATGCCTAGGATATTGATCTGTATATGTTCCATTTCATTTTTGATGATTTCCAATTTTCCTAGAATGTACTTTGTACATTCCACATTTCACTTATTAATGCATGTTTTCAGCTGTTTCTTCTGATTTGGACTTATTCCACAGTAGTAGGTAAAGATCCTAAGAAGTTTATTCCATCCATGTCATTAAAGTTCACTCTTCTTTGAGGAGGCAACTCTTCCCCCCCTGGTGTATTTTGAGTACCTTCCAAACAGGGCTCATCTTATGGCACTACATCAGACAATGTTCCACTGCTAGTTAGGTTTGCACTGGCCAATTTTTTCCAAAGTAGATCCCCCAGTCCTTCTTCCTAGTCTATCTTAGTCTGGACGCTCCACTAAAACCTGTCCTCCATTGGGGGCCCTGTTGGTATTTGAAATACCAATGGCATAGCTTCCAGCATCACAGCAACACACAGGCCACCACAGTACAACAAACTGGCAGGTGAGTGTATATTGTCATGTAGCCCCTTGCTTTCAGAAATAGGAAGGAAAATGGGGTTTAGCCTTGTTCTCCCCTGAAAACCAGAAACTATCATCTTTGACTTCCAGGAAACGTTGGGGAGAAACCTGCTCGTTGTCAATGGCTTGAAGTCAACTTGCATCTGTCAAGAGAACCTGTCTCTACTAGCAAAAGAAATACTATTGCTCAGGCCTTGTTACTCCCAAGTCTCCCTAGTCTGAGCCATGAATAACCAGGAACTCATTCCCTTTGCTGGTTTTCTTCATTTTTAATCTCAAGATCCAGTTGTGCTCTTTTTCTCCTGATCTGTGCCTTCAAGGGTGGGGAGGCTGACCTCTGAGGTCTACAGTACCCAGGCTTTTTGGCTTCTGGCTTCTGATTGGGATTCAGCCAATGGAAAGAGATCAGAAGGTGGGACGAGAGAAAGGTAGGAGTGTTTAGTCATCTGGTTCCTTTCTGCCTCACCCTGGTTCTAGTAGTGGCTGGTTTCTCTACAGTCATAGGTCCTCCTGAGTGGCCACCCTCTCCTGGTTCTAGATCTCACTGGCTGCAAGTCATAGTGCTTCCTTGATTTGCCCCTAAGATCTAGAAGTGAGAATGACCTCTTGCTGTTGCTGGACACATATGATTCCTTGTTGGTTCCTTAAGCCCTGTCCACACTCTGCAAAGTGTCTCTTAATTGAATTCTCTATTAAACTCTCTCCTAATAAACTTCTTTGAACAAGTGTGCTTTCTAATTCCTACCAGTTCCTTGACTGACGCTCACTCCTGCCAGATCCCGTCTCCTTCAATATTCTGCAAGGACCTCTAAGTAGAGAATCTCAGTCTTCAAGTTTTAAAACAGTAGTTAGAGGTTTATCTAACACATATGTTGCTGTTACATGCCATCAAGTCAGTTCTAACTCATAGCGATCCTGTATAGGGTTTCCAAGGAGCAGCTGGTGAGCTTGAACCACCGACTTTTGCGGTTCAAACTGACTTTGCAATCCAGCGCATGAATCCACATCACCACACCAGGATGCTATCTCATACATCTAAGCAACCTTAAAACATGTGAGACTAAGAAATACCTCATAGGGAATTATTTGATATCCTCATTACTGTTCTCGCATCCACACTTAATTCTAAGATGAAATTCCTATTTGGTGCACATTTGAAATCCCTGCTTAGTTCAGGTTCAACTGTTTGTTTTAAGTCAAATGAAGAAAACACCATAAAGTCTCTCTATCCCCATCACACCACCCCCAGGTAGAGACATACTCACTTGCCGTTGTTAAATATGACGGTACAGTTGGGCCAACAGTCATGGTTCACCAGACCCAGGTTGGGGAAGATGCCCACGCCCACTGCTTGCAGTCCTCTCTGGTCGCTGAGAGTGAAGCCATTGCAATTAATCTTGCAGGGGAAAAAATAAGAGAGACCATTATCAGACATAAA